TTTTGTAAAATATTTCACGGGATATCCATTGAGTGCGATGGTAGGTGGTTGCTTTCCCATATCAAAGATCACAGGTTCGAGTACCCTTATGAACAAATTTTAAATAATTATGGTTTAAAAAATAGAATAAATAAAATTTCAAACATCCATCGACAAACGAAGTGCGTTGTCCTGGTGGCAAAGGATTGGAATAAACTAAAAGGGCTTCAAGGTTGCAAGTTCAAGCTTCATGGGGGACAAATTTCTCAAGCTTTTGTTCTCAAGCAATGAACCGTCCGGTAGAACGGTTTTTCGGTTTGAACGGTTCCAACGGTTCTTACCGGTTTTCAAACGGTTTGATCTTCAAACGGTTTAAAGGATAGAACCGAACCGTTTATACTACCGGATACCGGTTCGACCGGTTCGACCGGCCGGTCCGGTCCGGTTTTCAAAACCTTGGTTAAACCACACCACACGCCTCTATAAGTTTGCTATTATAGTTGATTAAAAGTACCAAAGTTTTGTTTGTAGTAGCATTTTAAAGCCCATAACAATTTAGAGCACTATTATGAAACTCAGACTACACCAGTTGGTTTAGCTGGTTCACCATAACCAATTTTAAAAACAGGTTGGGTTACGATATTAGCTTGGTAGTAGTTAAACTGGTTAAATTTAGTCAAAACTTAGTCAAACCCACCCAAATTTGGTAAAACCCACTCAAATTTAGTAAAACTCGATTGACCAGACCCAATTCTTTTTCTTTCTTTCTTTTTTTCATTTTTTTCATTTTTCTTTAATTTTTTTTATGTTTGTCTATTTTATAGATGATATCATAATTAAATTATAAAAATTATTTAAAGTTGAATTATTATTAATGAATGAAAATTTTAAATTAATTTAAATGTAATTTGAATCAATTTAAAAAAAAAAAAATTGAAACTAACTTACTATTTCAAGATAGAGAGTGAAATTATTCATTAAGTCAATTGGTTGGACTAACCAATTGGATATGTCCAACTAGTTGAATTAGACTAAATGACCAAAATAGGTTGATTACTAGGCTGAGTTTTAAAACATTAATTAAAAATTTACCTTAAATAATTCAAATATAGACCTATATTTTCTTGGAATTCAAGTTGAAATCTAATTTGGAAACCAAATCTAACAAGGACTCCAATTCTTTATAAAATGCAAGGCTTAATTGCAACAATCTTTCCCTTGACTTGAATTTCTTGAACATTACCCCTCAAACAAAGAACTCCCCCTTGAGCTTGAACTTTTCTATTTCTGTGACGTAACAAACGATCCACCATTAAGCTCTCCAATCCATGTGAGTGACCTATGTGATTCCTTCAACTAATTACACAATTATTACTACCTCCACACTATAAAAGTTGATATCTCCACCATGCTAAACATCAACAATTGATATCATTCTTCATATAAATATAATCACTTCACCTGAACATGTTAGCGAACCCATCTCATGCACAACCACAAATTGGCAAGGCCTTGCAATTTTTTCAAAAAAACCAAATCAACTCTTCGCACCAAAATAAAAGGATGCAATAAATAAGATTGAATTATCTTACCATGTTGATCGATGCTTGGCTCTCCTTACTCCTTAGGAAGTCAAGTTGCCTCTTGTTGAAAATGATTCCATCTCTCATGGATCGCGCTAAACAACTTCCCTTCATCATTATAAGATATCTCCACGGCAAATCCCTTTATTAGTAGAAACCTCTCCCTTTGGTCTTCTCGCCTCACCACTTCTACTTCTTCTAATTTTGCTTTCTCCACAACCACGTTGTCAAATCCGCAACCTCTCCCACATCAAGAAATGCATCACCCATATCAGAATTGCCTTGGGCCCTTAAGTTACCTATAGGAATTTTTTGCATTATGTATCTCCCAGTGTTAGAGCGTGGCTCTAATAACATTGTTGGGAATTAAATCCCTTTCCTCAAAGCTCTAATACTACTTATTGGGAATTTAACTCACACCAAGGCCAATTGATGAAAAACCCATTACCACAAAATTATGTGAAGGATTAAATAATAAAACAAAATAGTGAGAAAGAAAAATACCCAATTTAACATAGAAAACCCTCAGAAGTGAGGGAAAAGCCATGAAGAGGAAGAAAAAAACCCATTATTAAGAAAGAGTTACAATATAAGAAGCCAATCTTAGTTTCCTTTAGCTCTTCTAGCAACTCCTAATCTCTCTCAAGAACCCTCCCTTAATCTCTCATAAGGAATTTTTCTCTCCCACACATGGCAGCTCTCAATAGCTTCTAAGAAACTCTTATTAAACACCCATGTCTTGCCCAAAATTAATATCGTTTGGATAAGCAGCTGTTGTAGCATAATTTAAGGTGTTGAATCCATAAAGAAACTAATTAAACTAGCAAAAAGGGCCATCACAAGGAGAAATCAAATTAAAAGATTAATTTCTAAAAATAAGAATGAGAGTGTTTGAATAAAAAATGATAATGATAAAAGAGTAAAAACTAATAGTATGATGAACAAGACTTTAGAATTCACTTCATTGATTTGTTTAATTGCTATCAATTTGATTCATATTTATTACTCAATTACATGTTTCACATTCTAAACAAATAATCAAAAAATATAACTTTAAAGATAAATGATAATAACAAAAGTATTTATTCTAAGAAAAATTAAGTTTGATAAAAAAAACAAAGTGATCTATTCTTATGAGCTACCCTAAAGTGACAATATATCTAATTGACAATATTGCAATAAAGAATCAAGCCATAAAATAAATATATTTGATCAATTATATTCTAATAAATTGAAATGACATGGCTTGAAACCCACCATTGGCCTAACAACTTTTTGGGTCAAGATCAATGAGCCCTTAAAAGTTTAAGCTCAATTTGTTAGTAGTGGTTGGTCTTCACACTTATATATCACACTCACTCACACTTTCCCATCGAAGTGGGTTATCTCCCTCACTTAAGCTAATTTCAATAAAGAACAAAGTGATCTATTCTTATGAGCTACCCCAAAGTCATAATATTTTAATTGACAATATTGTAATAAAGAATCAAGACATAAAATAAATATACCTGGTCAATTATATTCTAACAAATTGAAATGACTAGGCCTACAACCCACCACTGGCTTAACAACTTTTCGAGTCAAGATCAACGAGCCCTTAAAAGTTTAAGCTCAATTTGTTAGTAGTGGTTGGTTTTCACACTTATATATCAGACTCACTTACACTTCCTCATCGAACTGGGATATCCCCATATTTCCCTCACTTAAATGCTTGATAACCTTATCAAGCCCAATATTCAATTCAAGTGATGTGGGGTCCATACTATCACCAGTCGTGATAGTCAGCATGAGGGCCCACACTTGCAAGATCCCCATCAAAGTGGGATATCTCCCACATACCCTTCACTTTAAATGCTTGATATCCTTATAAAGCCCAATACGATAGTCAGCATGGGGGCCCACACTTGGAAGAGGTGATCACTCTAATACTAACTGAAACAATTGAAACTCAAGTTGATACCGTTATTATGTGATAACAAGAAAATATTATGCACCACAGTCACTCACACTTTCCCAACAATGTGGGATTTGAGGCATTACACAAATCATACATAAAAAGGGCATGACTAATCTATGTGAAAATTGATAAATATAACTTCTAAAGTTTTTTAATCTCAAAATAATTAACAATATCGCAAGAACAAAATTAAATGAGGAAATCCCTTAAGAAATCAAAATAAAATAACAAGTCAAACTCATCAATCAAAACCCTCTTCAACCTTGTTGAAGGTTTACCTATATGCCTTGAAGAAGAAATTAATTCAAGTATGTCCCTATTTAAGAGCTTTTCTATTTAAACTATATAATGATGAAGAAGAAAACTCAAACCTATACATGAAAAATGTATGAAAATTAAATAAATGAAACACTGAGTGATGAAAAGAGGTAGTGACAATTTTTCCCCCCCTTTTTAGCCTCACTTTTCATCCTATTAAGTTTTAGTTATTCCTATCTTAGATGTTTTCTTTTTTATGGAAAATAGAGATTTTCATTGAAAAGTAAAAAGAAATTACATCAAAATCTCTATATAGCATGAGAATATAGCCTAAAACTAAAGCATAACATATATTACTATTTATAGTTTTCAATTGTGCCTATAAGGAATCTAGATAATTAAGTATAAAGAATCCTTTGCAACTAGGGATTAAAAGAAATAGGTATAGGGGCAAAGAGAAAGCTACCTAGTAAGAGGATAATCCTATTGAGTGGTCAAACTTTTGGAAAATCCCATTGAAATTTTCAGCTTCTAGGGAGAGTAGAGAACCCAATAGATAACAGTCCCCACTCAGCAATGATTGGTCCTTCTCTAAGCCAAACAGGCTTTAATTTCCCATCCATCTGCAACCTATGATTGCTCACAATCTCCCTCTTAGCTACCTTCGAATCTAAGCTCATTTGCCACCATTGACTACCATCTCTCAGTTGTCCATAGAATCCAATAAGGAGGGACTCAACACACTTGAGAGAAAATTGTCTTAAACGATGATATATTTACCTTAAGTGAAAGATTAGAAAGTGCAAAGGGGACGATGGAAAAAAATATGGGAGAAAATATAATTAAGGGAACAGCGAAAGGAAGAGAAGGATGATCAGCAAGAGAAGAATCTCGAAGGGAAAGGAGAAAAATGCAGAGAGGAGGGATTAGCTTAAGGGAGGTGAAAAGACAGAGGGAGGCGAGGAAGAGGGAGGAGCGATAGCCTTCTAGCTTTTGCTGTATTCCCCTCTCACTTTTTAGGGTAGTTTTTTATTTTTTATTTTTTTAGAAGAGGATTTTCTAAAGGAGGCTGTTAGTTTTAAGTTGTCATAAACAATCTAATACACATAATGTTTCATTTTATAGGGCCTTTTTCAATGGAGCTTTTTGTAGAGCCTATCATGGAATTAGTAAAGTATTTGGGGAGGTTAACCTGCACGTATCTAGATTATCACTTAAATTTTGATGATGTTGTGACTGATCTGAGAAGAGAAATGGAAGCTCTAAATAGGCGAAAAGAGGATATAAATTCAAGTGCACAATCTGAGGCTCTTTGGGGGAAAGAAGTAAAACATGAAGTTCAGGGCTGGCTTAAGCGTGTACAAGAAATCAATGATGAAGTGCAAGCCATTCAAGAAAAGATTGAGAGAGTTAAGTGGTATTCACGGGGTCATCTAGGAAAACTTGTTTGCAAGAAAATTGAGGTGGTGAAAAAATTCCGCGAACAAGGTAGTTTTCCTGATGGTCTCGTAATTGATAAACTTCCAAGCCGGGGTATCATCATGTCAATTGATAATGTAGTGGGTGAAGATTCTGTAAAAGAAAAAATTTGGGGATATTTGGTGGGCAATGAAGTTAGAAAGATTGGAGTTTGTGGGATTGGTGGGGTTGGAAAGACTACTATTATGAAGCATATCAATAATGAATTGGTGAGGGAGGCTAAGTTTGATAAAGTGATTTGGGTCACTGTATCTTACCCACTCAATGTAATCAAATTACAAGAAAACATCGCTCGTGCTATTGCTGGGGATGATAGGCAGAGACTCCCAGAAGGTGAGGATAAAGAGAGGCGGGCAGCTAAATTAATGAGCGTTATGGGAAACATAAGTCACGTGCTGATATTAGATGATGTTTGGGAAAAATTTTCTCTGAGTGAAGTGGGAATACCAGAACCAACAATTCAAAGTCGAAGCAAAATAGTTATCACTAGTAGATCAGTTGATGTATGCCAAAAAATGGGCTGTGAGATAGTTAAAGTGGAACCTCTTTCTTTTCAAGAGTCTCTTAACTTATTCTCAGATAAAGTTGGGGCTCATCTTCTACAAGTTCCAAATTTAGAAGGAATCTTGAAGCTCATTGTGAAGGAGTGTGGTGGCTTACCATTAGCCATTGTTGTGATAGCAGAGAGTATGAGGGGAGAAGATGATGTTAATGTGTGGAATAATGCTCTGACTGAATTACGAGGACGGGTAAAGAGTGTGGATGGTTCAGATGAAAAGATATTTGAGAGGTTAACATTTAGTTATGATCGTTTAAATAGTTTTGAAATTCAAAATTGTTTTCTTTATTGCTCCTTGTTTCCCGAAGATTATCCATTTTTGAGAGAAGAGTTGATAGAAGGGTGGATTGATGAAGGACTAATTGATGGGTTGCCTAGTAGAAAAGCGGCTTATGAGAGGGGCCACGCTTTTTTAAATAGGCTAGTAAAGAATTGCTTGTTAGAGAAAAATGTTGATTCGCTTCGTGAAGTGTTAAAGACGCATGATGTTGTGAGAGCCACTGTTCAACGTATTGACATTTTTAAGATGCATGATGTAGTAAGAGACATGGCTATCAAAAGCATTGGTCCTAGATTGGGATATATGGTAAAAGCTGGTATGAAATTGATAGAGGTACCGGATGAGCGTGGGTGGGGAAAAGATCTTCAGAAGGTGTCTCTAATGGCAAATCACATATCAAAAATTCCCCTTGGGTTGTCCCCAAAGTGTCCAACTCTTTCAACTTTAATATTCTCAGATAATCATAATTTGTCAAAGATCACAGAATCCTTTTTTAAAGGGATGCCTGAACTAAAGGTCCTTGATCTTTCTAGAACTTCTATTCAAGCTTTACCTAATTCAATCTCAAACTTGGAGAGTCTCTCTTCCCTGAGGTTAAGAAGTTGTCGGAAGTTAATGTATTTGCCTTCTTTAGAGAAGCTTAGGACATTGAAGAAGTTAGATCTGCATCGTACAAGTATTATGGTGGTCCCTCAAGGCATGGAAAAGTTGATTAGTCTGGAATATCTTGATTTAACTGATTGTAAAAATCTAGAAGAGATTCCAGTGGGAGTGTTATCAAACCTTCCCAATCTCCAATACTTGTTAGTTTATGGAGAATTGAAGATAAAAGTAGAAGAGGTTGCAATATTGAACAAGTTGGAGACTTTTGAAGGTGTATTTGATGAGATACAAGGCTTTTATTATTTTGTCAAGTCTCAAGATTTTCAAATTCTTACTGACTACAGAATTGTAATAGGAGCACAGCTCGATCGTTCAACAGAGTTTATTAACCAAAAGAAACCTTCAGTTCACATTTCTAATTGCAACATTGGAGGGGAATGTATAGTGCTTCCAAATAACCTTGAGCAATTGTGGATCCGTCAGTGTAAAAGCATGAAAAGCAGTCTAAACAAAACAGCTTTTCTAGAAAAGGCAACCGAGCTGAGTTCCTGTCATATTAAGGATTGTGAAGATATGGAGTGCGTGCTTGACTTGGACTCATCCTCCTGTGTAGCACTGGATAAGCTTGAAATGTTGGATCTTAGGGAATTGCCAAACTTGAGTGTACTTGTGAGAGTGGAAGGAGTAGCAACACCACCTTCAGTCTTTTCCAATCTTAAATCTCTTTCTATAGAAAATTGTTCAAGAATAACGAAGTTGTTTCCAATTGAGTTGCTGCAAGCCCTCCAAAACTTAGAGGATATTTGTGTTTATGAATGCCTGCAAATGGAGGAGATAATAGCTTCATCAGATTCAAATGCATCATCGGACAAATTCACCTTTCCCAAGTTATGCAGATTCATTTTGGGGAATTTACCCCAATTGAAGAGCATCTGCAGTGCCAAAGGATTTATGGTTTGTGATTCTATTGAAGAAATTTGGATAATCGGATGTCCAGAGTTAAAAAGGATGCCTGTGCAACTTCCCTTGCTTGATAATGGCCAACCATCCCCTCCTCCTCGTCTCAGAGAAATCATCATAGATGAGTCAAAAGAATGGTGGGAATCAGTGGAGTGGGATCATAAGTACCTGCTTCAACCTTTCTTGAAACATTGAGGGTAAGGTGTTCATTGATTAACTATTCAATTCTAATTCTATGATGATTTTGGTTCATTTCTTAATCTCATGTGCTATCTCCTTTATTTATTTGTTTTACAATTTCATTTCTTCCACTGAAAGGAAACAATTTCTGCTGTTTCATTCTTCGAGGTTGAATTGGTTTTTTCATTCAATTTATTAATAAATTTATAAATGGGTTCCTTCTGGCCTTCTGGGTATGGTTATTTTTGTTCAGATTTTTGAGAATTTGGTTGTTGGTTCTACCTTTATATTAGAGCAGCACAATCCTTGCAATCGGTTTTGCATTGGAGTTTCCCACCTTATTCATCCTCAATTTCATCTGAGATTATCAACATTTGGCCAAACTGGGTACCATGGAATCAAATCTCTTTTATCTATTTTGGTAATTCCAAAATCTATGGCATATTTTCTGAAATGATTTGTTTCTGTTAGGTTTTTTGGTGGCTGGTTTTTGTTTGTTTTAGGGATTTCTTATTCTCTTTTATACTTAACTAATAAATTTATTGAATTGTTTAATTTGTGATAATAAGTAATTAGAATATTTAAATTAAATTTTTTGTCTGAGTTGGAAGTGAAATCAGTGAAATGAGAAACCTGCAGGATTTGAATTCCCGTATTGCAAATGCAAATTTTGGCACAATCGGTCAGCAATTGGCGGGAAGAGTCCCAGGCTCTGGTCTCCGATGAACCCCAACTACTCGTAAGTAGTATCATTTCTGATTTTGGTACAATCCGCTTGCAAGTGGCGTGGCAGGAAGAGATCCAGGATCCGGTGTCATAAACTCCAAGTAGTGAGTGCTGATTTTGCTGTGTTCATTTTCTATCAGTATCTGCATTTTGATCCTAAATTACCCTTCAAATTTAATATTCTGATTCAGCTGCAATAATAATAATATAACATGCTTTTTAGTCTCTTAAGCTGAGAGTTATAGAGAAAGTTTCTGATAAAAATTAGTATTATTTTCAGGTCTCCTACAAGTGGTTGAATCGCAACTTTTTGTTGTCTCATCAAGAGTTGAAAAGAGGTGAACTTTTCTGCTCGGAGGATGTAGTGAAAGTAATGGTTCTGTTTAGGTCACCTGTTGAGTAAGTTTGTTGGAAAACACGGTAGTGGGTTCGTAATACTGTGCATTTTGTCTGGCTGGTAGAAGAGCAGTGCAGTCCTCCAAGTCCATATAAAGGTTGCTACTGGATCCAAATTCACAGATGAGATTTTCCATAAAAATGGCATATGGTCTCGTTTTGAACAATGTTTCTAAGTTCAGTTTTTGCTTTTATTTTATATTGCATATTAGCCCTATTCTAAATTTCCCTGCCCCCTTTTAAAAATTCAAATCCTTGATCCACAAATCAGATGGTTGTGTAAATGGTTGTGTTTTTATATATCAATAGCCTTATTGCTAGTGAATTTTTTCGCTGTTTTACTACTATGGCAAAGCAGTAATTAATGTTAGACTGGCTTCTCTGAATTTTTTGCAGAAGCAAAGCAAGAATTTGATGACAATTGCTCAGTTCAGATTCCAGTATTGAAGCTGGCATGCCAAAGGATCCGGCTTCGTAAACTTTGGAATGTTGAATTTGTCTAGGATGAAGAGCTTTCAAGCAGCTTTCAAATATTGAGACAAATGCCTAGCCAGCGGTTTTGCCTCTTGAACTGATTATTTCTCGTGCTTTTTTTTGGGCTGCAATTGAAGTTTCACAGGCATGCGCCTTAACTGATTGTTCAGCTCTAAAGTATTTCAACAATTAAAAGCAAGAGATTTGAAACTTCATTTTTTTTTTTTGCAGTTTCTTACAAGCAATACCTCTAAATTATTTGTCAACGTACTGTTCTAGTGTTAAACATGTTGGCAAGTTTGTCAAAGGTACTAATGGCTTCTTGGCCTTACAAATGACTGCTTAAGTAGGTGGCAGAATCTAATTTGTATCCTTCATGATGCCTTTTGTCAGGTTCTGTTTGATTTCAAACTCATTTATTGAGCACAATGATGATGGAACTCCTGGCAACTGCTCAACTAAAAATTATAGGAATGTCAGGACCTTCCAAGAATAATTATGCTCAAAGCAATGTGGTTTAACCATTCAACAAAATAGAGTTGAGCAATCAAGCTCAAAGCCATCCTCCATGCAAGGATTGCAGGCAACCATTGGAGGATGCTGACAAAGTGTAATGAATTAAACATTTTGTGCTTTCAAAGAGTTTTAAGCTTTTGGATGCTTTATTTTCAAAAAAAAAAAAAACTTTCATCTTTTCTGTATGAAAGACATGTTTCAATGAGTAGTATTATTTGCTGTCACAACATGCTGCATGTCCTGATCTGGGTGCGACTACTTTGTTCTTCGGTGTATGTGATGGTGACTGAGGTAAGAATTTGACAACTCAAATAAGGTAGCCTAACTGAGATAATGTAAATATTGGGTAGGTCAAGAGTTCAATCTCTAACATCTGCCTGAATTATTACAAGCAGGGCAGATTCTGATCGGAAAGGAAGCAGCAATATGCATTTAAACCTAGAGGAAGGATTTGGAAGTTCAATTGATGTGGTTGCCAGGTGAAGCATAGATTTGATTTTGTTATCCTTCGCAAATTTTTGTGTGCTGTTGTGCATTTTCTTAGAAGCAAAACTGAAGTTATTTTGTTGTATGTCATTTGAAATACAGGGTTTTGGAGTGAGGTTACCTTCAAAGCATGCGTTTAAAATGAGCAAGATGCAATGGTGCTGGTATTGATTCTGAATTGAAGAACTAAGGATGGTTTGTAAACTTTTCAATGATTTTTGTTTTGATTTGATCATCATCATTTTCCTTATTGTTTCATTTGGTTGAGGCTTTATAATGTAGGTATAAAATGGAGAAAAGGAAGATGCAAGGAGGTACGTGTTTTGTTAGTTCACTGAAATCATGCGCGTGACCACCTTTAATTTCTAATGTTTTTTTGGTGAAAGATTTTTTAACATGTGTGCAACATTTGCGAAATGCAGGCATAGACAAAAGTATTCTTCATCAAATGGACACTTATTAAGTCCTGATTGCTGACAATAAATTTGTCGAGGAAGCAGAATCTCTACTTCTGAAAACAATGTGAGTTACCATGTCTTAAATACTGGTCAATTGATTAAATTAGGTATAGATTCTGTTTTCTGGCTTTATGATCTGAGACATGAATGCTTGAGGACATTAATTACATGAACTAGGTGGATCTGGTTATTTTATGTCGTCTTCAAAGCTATAATATGACATGCTCCATTAACCGCTACATAAATAAATCCTGCATGGGGGAGAAAAAATGAAATTGCTCTTGCGATGTCCTGCATTCATTTTCATAATGGCCAACCATCTCCTCCTCCTCATCTCAGAAAAATCAAGATAGGTGAAGGGTCAGAAGAATGATGGGAATCAGTGGAGTGGGATCATAAGAACCTACTCCAACCTTTCTTGCAATATTCTAGCAATTATTGGGATTGAGGGTAAGTTGCTGACTGATTAAGTATTCAATTTCTAATTTTAAGAATGTTGATTTCATCTCATCCGCTATCTTCTTTATTTATTTGTTTGTTTTCCAATTTCTTTTCTATCATTGAAGGAAAAAATTTCTATTGTTTCATTCATGGAGGTTGAATTGAAAGGAAGAAACGAACATATATGATCCAGAGAAAGAAATCTTCAACTTAATTTCCAGGTTTCTTCAACATTTCTTCCATTCTACGGCAATGACACTGATGGACGGCCAGGATGAGCGGCAATATTCCGTTTGGTTATAAACTTGTCATGTTCAGCTAAGTCACGTGCGGCCCCGAACAGCACGTGCCAGTAAAACCCCT